TCAGCGAAGAGGAAGAGCGGGCCGCTGTCAGCCGGGACATTCCTACCATCTCTTCCCTCGAAAACAGCTGGACCGCATGGCTGTGTTTCCCGTCCCAGAGATCCTGCGCACTCCTCTGGAGAGCGTCATCATACAGGCCAAGATCCACTGTCCCCACAGCAAAGTGAGCGAAAGAGTCTCCTGTGTTTAACTGCTTCGATCTGCTTGCTTTAAATTCAGGAACGAGGCTCACTTTGGACAGTTCTCTGCGTTAAGATCAGTTTATGATTTTATTCATGTTATTATTTGAACACGTTGTTCTTCTTCTTGCAGGCTGTGGACTTCCTGGCACAAGTGCTGGATTCCCCGGATAGTCAAGTAGTCAGAGTCGCTGTGAAGAGCCTGATGGATATTGGTAAGTGTTTTTCATTTTTTAGAAAGTAGTATCTATTTATTGGTTTATATTTTAATGCATATATTCAGTTTGAATTCTGTCCTGTGCCTTAACTAAAGACTGGTCAAAACAGACAGAACCAACACAATTTGGTTTAAATGCGTACAGTGACTTGAAATGCAAGCGTACGCAATACTTCAGCAACTGAAACAAATGAACCAAATGAAATGAAGGATGATGTAACTGTTTCCTTAATAATACTTTCATTTTAAACGATGCCAATTTTCAGCAGTATTTTTGAAATGTATAAAAATAGAAACTACTGCTCTTTATTGTTAATATATTATACTTCTTACTGTTTTGAACTGTATTTCTCCATTGCGCTTGCATTAAGGACAGCTTCATTTATTATAATAGACGTTTACACACACTTTCTGTCCACTGAACACCGTAAGGACCGCTTCATACTAAATGTGTTCTGCCTTCAGTTGTGCAAGACAGAAATATCTGTGCTGCATCACAGCATCTCATGCAGTTCTGTATGAACCGGTCAAACCTTTTGTAACTTGAAAAATGTGTTGGAAAAATGAGTTTTTATAAATGCATTCGATTGACAAAACTCAGTTAGCAGAGACACAGTTAAACCCAGTGTTATTATAGTCTATTGTAATTTTTGTTAATATTTTACTTGGATTTTATTATTATTATTTTTTTTCCTGTATTCATTTTAATTTGAAAGTTTTAGTATTTTTGTTGTGTTTTTTTTGTCAATCTTTTTTTTTATTTTATTTTTTATAATATATATTCTTTTAAGTTTTAGGTTAGTTTATTTTTGTACTTAAACTTATTTTATTTCCAATAGCTGCCAAGGAAACATTTCCCTTTTGTTTTTTTTTAGTTAACTTTTTTTGTGTGGG